GACAGATCCCTGGAAAGTGGGGGGTCCAGTCCCCCCCTTCCTTCCTGCAACCTCCATCCTCTTCCCACCCCATAAGCCCCTGCCCTGCCCAGACGCAGTGGTTCTGCCAAGTCCAACCATTGGTCCCCCTGGAGAGGAGAGGAAGAGGAAGAGGGGAGGGGAGAGGCCTTCTCAGAAGCAGCTCTTTGGTTTCCGCAATCCCACCCAGGAAGCAGCCAGAAACCTTTTCCTCTCTCTTGGGCTTCCATCTTTAAGTTTCTCTTCCACTGCCTGGTTCCAGTACAAATAAAAGACAGTAAAACATCAGACATTAAAAACCTCCTGATAGAGGGTTGCCTTCAGCTGTCTTCTAAATGTCAGAATATTGCCCACTTCCTCGCCCTCTGCCTGCTTCCCTGTAACTTCGCTTCTCCCAGGGGGGAATCAGCAGAAGACCTTCCAAGGAGGACCTCCCTGTCCAGACTGAGCGATGTCGGTGGGGATGCTCCTTCAGGTCTACAGGGCTGAGGCTGTTGAGGGCTTTAGGTTGCAGATCTTGCTGCTCCATAACAATCTCATTCAGCAAATAAATTTATTACTGAAGGCAAAGAAGCATAACAGGATCCAAAAATAGTAAAATTTAACTTACGTAAAACCCTAACTTAGCATACCAAAACAGCACTCAAGTAAGAATCACACAAGCGGAGTAGAGAAATAGCAGACTAGGAAGTGGGATCAGAGGCCTTTCAGCCTTGTAATTTATATTCTATTAAATGTCAGAGTAACCTTGGGACTGGATAGCAAGCCTGGCTCACTCCAGTTTAAACCAGCTTCATCTGGTTCCCATGAAACAAGAAAGGTTCTTCATAACCTCATCGCAACTGATCCCACCACCAGCTCTCAGCAGAAAGGAAACTGCCGAGTTTCAGGAAGCCTGCATTAGATCAATACTTTTTCTTTGCCTGGAAAATGCAGCCATGCCACTTAAAGGTCAGCACCAACAGTTTGACATGTGCTTGAAAATCTGCTGGGAGCCAAGTAAGATCCTTTAGGAGCAGTGATATGTGGTCTTGGCAGCTGCTCCCATTCAGTTGCAGTTTTGGGTCACCTTCAAAGGTAGTCCCATGTAGGCCACATAGCAGTAGTCCAAGCCGGAAATAACCAGAGCATGCACCACTCTGCAAAGGGTATAATTCCTCCAGGTGGCCCTGCTTCATTCTGGCAGGTCCCTCATTGCGAGAAGTGAGGTTACAGGGGGCCTTCTGGGTTGTCGTGACTGCCCTGTGGAACCCCTCCCACCAGATGTCAAGGAGATAAACCATTTAGGCCTCCATTGATGCCTGAAAGCAGCTCCGTATCGGGAAGCTTTTAATGATTTATGTTGGGTTATCTTTTCTTTATTCTTTTGGAAGCCGCCCAGAGTGGCTGGAGCAATCCAGTCGGATGGGTGGGGTACAAAAAAATGTTGTTGTTGTTGTTGTTGGACACCCAGCTTTTGACAGCTAGCTAGGCAGGGATTAAGGGCTGCTTCGTTCTGTGCTTTTGGACTCCTATGTGGGCTTATGGTTCTGGTGCTTGTGGATCTCATGGGATTTAATGTCTTCCATTATAAATGCACGGGGATAAGTGCATTTACACAGACACATTTCCGCAAAAAGACCCAAACTCGCATGTAGCCGCAGGTGATACAATGGAGCCCTTCTGCAAATGGCCTTTGCAACACAACTCCTGGGTGGTAACAAAGTATACCCTTTGCCTCTTTGCAACGTAGCCCCGTTTCCTCAATGAATCCACCCATTTCAGTAAAACCTGAGCTGAAATAGAAGGAGAGCAAACAGCAGCCCTGTCTGACCCCCGTCAGCCCCCAGATCCCCCAGTCACGTGGCAGGAGATTCATCCTGAGCCCCCCCCTCCGTGAGAGGGTATGACATCATGGATGATCCATATATCATATGATCCATTGTGATCCACATGATCCAAGCAGACTGGGCGAAAGAGCAGATCTCTGTGCCTGAATGAAACGGGTCTGCGATGATGGATTCTGGAGTCAAGAAATCCTCCCTTTCCAGTGATCTCTCAGGCTGGCCAGGAAAAGGCAGGGAGCAGGAATCCTCAGGCATCCCGATGGACAGACAGACTTGTCATGTTGCCAAAACACAACTCGGACTCTGATCTGATTTCCAGTACAACTCACTTTGTGGGCGCAACCGGGGATGTTTTTGGGGTGCTCTCTCTGTGACGGGGGGGCTACTATCTGAGGGTGCACAAATTGCAACGCGCTTTAGTTCTGGGCTGCTTCACTCCTTGCATGGGGGGGGGGCTCTGCCTGCAAACAGATCAACAGCTGCCTTGCTTTCTTCCGGGCCGCATTGTGTTACCTCTGACGGAGACACAAGGGAGGAATTGTGTCGGTCTCTCTCTCTCTCTCTCTCTCTCTCTCTCTCTCTCTCTCTCTCTCTTCTGTGTGTGTGTGTGGTGTGTGTGGCAGAAAGCCCAAGCCCCATTTTCCCCGTAACACAGGAGTCCCAGACCCCAACCCGCTGCTCAATTTGCACCAATACCAAAAACATGGAATGGATCTAAGATCATGGCGTGTGGGGCGGGGGGGGACGGACACTGAGGTCCAGCTCCGAGGGCCTTCTTGTAGCAATGATTTTAAGGTACCAGTGACCCACTCAAATTGTGTCCAGAACTGACAGACGCAGCAGTGGAGAAAAAGAAAGTGATATTTATTGCTGAGCAATAATTGACCCTGTGGAATCCTTTCCAGAGACTGGGCCCCCCAGCTCTAGCGCCCTGAGGCTTTATATCTGAGTACATACATCATCGATCATGACATAATCGAATACAATCGCACACGGCAGCAAAAATAAAACCAATGAGCGCATTCAAGCCTTGCCCCCTGATCATGTAAAGAGTTCCCTCCCAACTTCTGCTTTCTTCAGTCTGAACATTAGTCCGACCTTTCCCCTAATAAAAAGGCAGAAAGGAACTGTGTTCAGCCCTTACGCTCTCCTACGCAACATCTGCCAAACAGGGACATTTTGCGGTTAGCATCTTCCTGTTTTTCAGCTGCTCAGGACCCTGTCTGGACAGGAGGAAAATGCCAGCACAGCAGATTTATTGCTTCCCCCCTTATGTTAGCCAGACATTGAAAAGAACAAGGGGAGAGAACTGGGACAGAGTTCATTTTGGATTTTTCAAATCTAAGCATTTTTGCCCTAAGCTTTGCAGAAGCCTTCATGATTCAAACATGGATAAAAAGCATTATAAGGATATATGGTTATATATGGCTAACTGATTATACGGAAATTAAATGGAAAGCATAAGGGTATAATTCCTCCAGGTGGCCCTGCTTTCATTCTGGCAGGTGCCTCCATTGCGAGAAGTGAGGTTACAGGGGGCCTTCTGGGTAGTCCTGACTGCCCTGTGGAACGCCCTCCCACCATATGTCAAGGAGATAAACCATTATATGACCTCCATAGACGCCTAAAAGCGGCGCCAGGAAGCTTTTAATGTTTTATGTTGGGTTATGTTTTTTCTTTTATTCTTTTTGGAAGCTGCCCAGAGTGGCTGGAGAAATCCAGTCTGATGGGTGGGGTACAAAAACATGTTGTTGTTGTTGGACACCCAGCTTTTGACAGCTAGCTAGGCAGGGATTAAGGGCTGCTTCGTTCTGTGCTTTTGGACTCCTATGTGGGCTTATGGTTCTGGTGCTTGTGGATCTCATGGGATTTAATGTCATGCCATTATAAATGCACGGGGATAAGTGCATTTACACAGACACATTTCCGCAAAAAGACCCAAACTCCAGCATGTAGCCGCAGGTGATACAATAGGAGCCCTTCTGCAAATGGCCTTTGCAACACAACTCCCTGGGTGGTAACAAAGTATACACCTTTGCCTCTTTGCAACGTAGCCCCGTTTCCTCAATGAATCCACCCATTTCAGTAAAACCTGAGCTGAAATAGGAAGGAGAGCAAAACAGCAGCCCTGTCTGACCCCCGTCAGCCCCCAGACTCCCCCAGTCACGTGGCAGGAGATTCATCCTGAGCCCCCCCCCCTCCGTGAGACGGGTATGACATCATGGATGATCCAGTGATTCATATGATCCATTGGTGATCCACATGATCCAAGCAGACTGGGCGAAAGAGCAGATCTCTGTGCCTGAATGAAACGGGTCTGCGATGATGGATTCTGGAGTCAAGAAATCCTCCCTTTCCAGTGATCTCTCAGGCTGGCCAGGAAAAGGCAGCGAGCAGGAATCCTCAGGCATCCCGATGGACAGACAGACTTGTCATGTTGCCAAAACACGAACTCGGACTCTGATCTGATTTCCATGTACAACTCACTTTGTGGCGCAACCGGGGATGTTTTTGGGGTGCTCTCTCTGTGACGGGGGGGGCCTACTATCTGAGGGTGCACAAATTGCAACGCGCTTTAGTTCTGGGCTGCTTCACTCCTTGCATGGGGGGGGGGGCTCTGCCTGCAAACAGATCAACAGCTGCCTTGCTTTCTTCCGGGCCGCATTGTGTTACCTCTGACGGAGACACAAGGGAGGAATTGTGTCGGGTCTCTCTCTCTCTCTCTCTCTCTCTCTCTCTCTCTCTCTCTCTCTCTCTGTGTGTGTGTGTGTGTGTGTGCAGAAAGCCCAAGCCCCATTTTCCCCGTAACACAGGAGTCCCAGACCCCAACCCGCTGCTCAATGTGCACCAATACCAAAAACATGGAATGGATCTAAGATCATGGCGTGTGGGGCGGGGGGGGGAAGGATTTTCAATGTAAACATTGTAGGGGGGGCCCCACTTTGCAGCTGGATTGCCAGGATCAGCCCCTCCCGCGCTCTCCTGATCCCCTGAACGAAGAAGGGAGGGGGGAAACCTTCGTCTCCCCCCCCTCTATCCCTCCCTTCCCGGTACATCCTCCTCTCACCCCGCCCCCACAACCCTCAACCCTCCCCCTATGTCGCACCTCTTCCTTCTGCTCCTCCTCCAATCCGGCTTCTGTTTCCGGAATGAGCGGAGAGAGCCCCCCCCCTCCCGACCTGCCTGCTTCTCCCGCACGTGGAGCTTCTGCGCCGGATTGCTGCTCTGCGCCGTAGCTCGGGGGGGGGCGCTTTGGAAAGGAAAGGTGGGGCGGCAGGGGAGGGACCCCCGCCCGGTGGATGTTGCAGGAAAGGAGAATCGGGAGCGAGGACAAAGAGGTAAAGGGGTCGCGGGGGGCGGAGAGGGAGGGGGTAAAGGACCCAGAGACCCCGCCAGCTCCCCAAGGCGCCTTTCGTGGGGCCTGGATCCCTGCACGTGTGCTGCGAAGGGGGCTTTCCTTGGCCCCCTAGGCGCCTTGGCAGCGGCGGACATGGGACGCCTACGCAGGGGGTCCCCACGAGGACCCCCTTGCCCCGTTTCCCCCGCGAAGGCATCCCTGGGGCCCTGTGGGTTTCGCACGGATAAAGGAGGGTTAACGGGCGTGAGGGACGCCTAGATAGAGACCCCCTGTCCCTCCTCTGCTAGTCTTGGGGTGGCCCCCCAGGATGGAAAGATGGGGGATGAGGGCTGAGCCGCGCCAAGGGAGGCCTCTGGGTGCAGGGGAGACTCTGGGACAGAGGGAGGGAGTCGAGGAAGTGGGGAGGGGGAGCATCCCTGGGGCACGAAAGGGCAGCAATGGGGGGGGGAGAGATAGGAAATCAGTCTTTGGGGAGACTTCTCCATGGTGGCGCCTGCTGGGATTCTCTGGAGAGGCCGTCTTGACTTCTCCTTACCATCCAGGAATCGGCCACCCCTTCAAGGTGACCAGAGAGGGATCCCTGGAAAGTGGGGGGTCCAGTCCCCCCCTTCCTTCCTGCAACCTCCATCCTCTTCCCACCCCATAAGCCCCTGCCCTGCCCAGACGCAGTGGTTCTGCCAAGTCCAACCATTGGTCCCCCTGGAGAGGAGAGGAAAGAGGAAGAGGGGAGGGGAGAGGCCTTCTCAGAAGGGGCTCTTTGGTTTCCGCAATCCCACCCAGGAAGCAGCCAGAAACCTTTTCCTCTCTCTTGGGCTTCCATCTTTAAGTTTCTCTTCCACTGCCTGGTTCCAGTACAAATAAAAGACAGTAAAACATCAGACATTAAAAACCTCCTGATAGAGGGTTGCCTTCAGCTGTCTTCTAAATGTCAGAATATTGCCCACTTCCTCGCCCTCTGCCTGCTTCCCTGTAACTTCGCTTCTCCCAGGGGGGAATCAGCAGAAGACCTTCCAAGGAGGACCTCCCTGTCCAGACTGAGCGATGTCGGTGGGGATGCTCCTTCAGGTCTACAGGGCTGAGGCTGTTGAGGGCTTTAGGTTGCAGATCTTGCTGCTCCATAACGATCTCATTCAGCAAATAAATTTATTACTGAAGGCAAAGAAGCATAACAGGATCCAAAAATAGTAAAAATTTAACTTACGTAAAACCCTAACTTAGCATACCAAAACAGCACTCAAGTAAGAATCACACAAGCGGAGTAGAGAAATAGCAGACTAGGAAGTGGGATCAGAGGCCTTTCAGCCTTGTAATTTATATTCTATTAAATGTCAGAGTAACCTTGGGACTGGATAGCAAGCCTGGCTCACTCCAGTTTAAACCAGCTTCATCTGGTTCCATGAAACAAGAAAGGTTCTTCATAACCTCATCGCAACTGATCCCACCACCAGCTCTCAGCAGAAAGGAAACTGCCGAGTTTCAGGAAGCCTGCATTAGATCAATACTTTTCTTTGCCTGGAAAATGCAGCCATGCCACTTAAAGGTCAGCACCAACAGTTTGACATGTGCTTGAAAATCTGCTGGGAGCCAAGTAAGATTCTTTAGGAGCAGTGATATGTGGTCTTGGCAGCTGCTCCCATTCAGTTGCAGTTTTGGGTCACCTTCAAAGGTAGTCCCATGTAGGCCACATAGCAGTAGTCCAAGCCGGAAATAACCAGAGCGTGCACCACTCTGGCAAGACAGTCTGCGGGGAAGGAGGGTCTCAGCCTGCGTTCCAGATGGAGCTGCTAGACAGCTGCCCTGGACACAGAATTGAGCTGCGCCTCCATGGTCAGCTGTGAGTCCAAAATGACCCCTAGGCTGCACACCTGGTTATTTAGGGGCACAATTACCCCATCAGGACCAGCCCCCACACACACACCTGCCCACCTCCTGTTCCCCAGAGACAGTACTTCTGTCTTGTCAGGATTCAACCTCAATCTGTTAGCTGCCACCCATCCTCAAACCACCTCCAGGCACCAACACACGGCATTCACCACCTTCACTGGCTCCGATTTAAACGAGAAGAAGAGCTGGGGATCACCCACATACTGGTGATCACCCAGCCCCAAAACCCTGATGATCTCTCCCACCAGCTTCATATAGATATTAAAAAGCATGGGGGAGAGGACGGAGCCCTGAGGAACCCCACAAGTGAGAGCCCAGGGGTCAGAACAGTCATCCCCCAACACCACTTTCTGGACATGGCCCAGGAGGAAGGAGGGGAACCACTGCATAGCAGGGTCCCCAGCTCCCCTAGAGGGTTCAGTAGGACACCATGGCCAAAGGTCTCCAAAGCCACTGAGAGATCTAGCAGAACCAGGAAACAGCTTTCCCTTCAGACTCTAGCGCATTGGAGATCATCAACCAGAGCCATGAGGGCAGTTTCTGTCACATGATGAGGCCTGAATCCCAGTTGGAAGGATCATGCTGGCAGAAGCTTTCCTGGTCCTGCACCCCCAAAAGCTTCAGGCACAAGACTTTCATTAGCTTTGAAGGGGCCATCCGATACTTGGTGGTCTTTTCTTCAAAAGACAAATATTTTGAATACTTTTACAGTGACATATGATGTAAATAGCACATCCACATTGGAGAGATTTTGATACACACGTCTGAGCTCATCTCTCCGCCTGAAACTGCTGTCTTAGCAGCACTGCCTGGGCAGTGTGTTTGGGGGTCCTGGGCTGCCTAGACAACAAGACCCCTTTCTCAGCCTGGCTAATATGGTCCCAAGGAAAGCAGAGCAGTACGTTTGGCACCAGCTTGGCTGCTGGAGTGGCTGGAAGGAGGTGTGCAGGACACCATGCAACTATCTTAGAGACTCCACTCTGGATTTGTATAGCCTTTTCTTTTCCTGAAGATAACTCACCAGGCAGTGAAGGTTTAGTTTTCCTTCTCGAGGACCTCCCTTCCCAGATTGACGAGCCCCATCTGCCCTTCACTTTCCTCAGCAGGATGGGCAGAATCTGCCTTCTTGACTGTGGGATTCACTGTTGTTCTCATCCTCTCCATCCACCAGGGCCTGCCTACACCTGCAGCAGAATTCCCCAACCCACCAAGGATTTGAGACCATCTATTCTCACCTGGTTTAGCCGGCCGGTTGAAGCCGTTCCTGGGCTTGTGACCCCTATTCTATCCTGACAGCTTCTGGAAGCCACAGGTGGGAACTGAGTGTAGGGTGGGGACCATTGATGGATAAATTACCCCATAACGTGCATGACATGACCCCCACCAAAGGAACTAATGCTCTCCTAACACCCCAAGACATCATATAATTATGATATTTGAGTCAGAACTGGAATAAATTCGTCTCTAGAAAAAACACAACTTCAGGCAATAAGTAAATTAATACTACTTATTCAAGGTACTACATATTCCACTAAGTACAGTTTATCTATTTGCCTTGAATATCCACTTTTCAGTGTCATTTTAGGATAGTCCTGCGTCAGAAGATGGGCATGAGATGAGACAGCACATAATTCTTTTAAAAATCATGCTGCTTTATTAACATTGATTGAGGATTATGAAAGCTGCTCATGAATTACTATCATTTGTTAACATTACAACTTCATTTCCAAAAAATTGGGAACATGGGGAGGAGGTGGGGGAATATAGGAGATGTTGATATAGGAGAAGGTGCTAATGGAGCTTGATTTATTTTCTTTCCCTTAGTTCTCTTCCTTGAAACCCAAACAGGATTCCCTTCCCACTCTGAAGAAGGAGATGGAGAAGACAGTCAGAACTCTAGGGAATGGGGCACCTTTAGTTTCATTAGGAATAGAAATTAAAATGTGTGACATGCAGAATATGCTTCATTGAATGAGCACACATAGTTCACATCAACAACCTCCAACAGGGGAGAAACCATTTAAAGGTATGGAGTGTGGGAAAAGATTGACTGATAGTCGAAAACTTAGAAAACATCAGCGGAGTCACATGGGCAAGAATGGATTCCAATACAGGGAGTGTGGGAAGAACTTTAGTCAGAGTGGACTCCTCAATATACACGAGCGGACTCACACAGGGGAGAAACCATATAAATGTATGGAACGTGGAAAGAGCTTCAGTCGGAGTGATGCACTTAGCACTCATCAACGGACTCACACAGGGGAGAAACCACATAAATGTATGGAGTGTGGAAAGAGCTTCAGTCAGAGTGGACACTTAAGTTTACATCAGCAGACTCACACAGGGGAGAAACCATTTAAATGTTTGGAGTGTGGAAAGAGCTTTAGTAATAATGGATACCTTAAATTACACCAGCGGATTCACACAGGGGAGGAACCATATAAATGTATGGAGTGCGGAAAGAGCTTCAGTTTCAATGCAGCCTTTAGAACACATCAAAGGACTCACACAGGGGAGAAACCATATAAATGTATGGAGTGTGGAAAGAGCTTCAGTCAGAGTGGACACCTCAATATACATCAACGGACACACACAGGAGAGAAACTATTTAAATGTATGGAGTGCGGAAAGAGCTTTAGTGATAATGGAAGCCTTAGAACACATCAACGGACTCACACAGGGGAGAAACCATTTAAATGTATGGAGTGCGGAAAGAGCTTCAGTCAGAGTGGACACTTAAGTTTACATCAGCAGACTCACACAGGGATGAAACCATATAAATGTATAGAATGTGGAAATAGCTTCAGTCAGAATGCAGACCTTAAAAGACATCAACGGATTCACACAGGGGAGAATCCATATAAATGTTTGGAGTGTGGAAAGAGCTTCAGTCAGAATGGAATCCTTAGAACACATCAACGGACTCACACAGGAGAGAAACCATTTAAATGTTTGGAGTGTGGAAAGAGCTTCAGTCAGAGTGGACACCTTAATATACATCAACGGACACACACAGGAGAGAAACTATTTAAATGCATGGAGTGTGGAAAGGACTTCAGTAGCAGTGCACACCTTAGATCACATCAACGGACTCACACAGGGGAGAAACCATTTAAATGTATGGAGTGCGGAAAGAGCTTTAGTGATAATGGAAGCCTTAGAACACATCAACGGACTCACACAGGGGAGAAACCATTTAAATGCATGGAGTGCGGAAAGAGCTTTAGTAAAAGTGGACACCTCAATATACATCAACGGACTCACACAGGGCAGAAACCATTTAAATGTATGGAGTGTGGAAAGAGCTTTGGTGATAATGGAAGTCTTAGAAAACATCAACGGACTCACACAGGGGAGAAACCATATAAATGTTTGGAGTGTGGAAAGAGCTTCAGTCAGAATGGAATCCTTAGAACACATCAACGGACTCACACAGGAGAGAAACCATTTAAATGTTTGGAGTGTGGAAAGAGCTTCAGTCAGAATGGAAACCTTAAATTACATGAGAGGATTCACACAGGGCACAAACCATATGAATGTATGGAGTGTGGAAAGAGCTTCACTTTCAATGGAAACCTTAGAATACATCAACGGACTCACACAGGGGAGAAACCATATAAATGCATGGAGTGCGGAAAGAGCTTCCGTTTTAATGAAAAGCTTAGAACACATCAACGGACTCACACAGGGGAGAAACCATATAAATGTTTGGAGTGTGGAAAGAGCTTCAGTCAGAGTGGACACCTCTATATACACCAACGGACTCACACAGGAGAGAAACCATTTAAATGTATGGAGTGTGGAAAGAGCTTTGGTGATAATGGAAGCCTTAGAACACATCAACGGACTCATACAGGGGAGAAACCATATAAATGCATGGAGTGCGGAAAGAGCTTCCGTTTTAATGGAAACCTTAGAACACATCAACGGATTCACACAGGGGAGAAATCATTTAAATGCATGGAGTGCGGAAAGAGCTTCCGTTTTAATGGAAACCTTAGAACACATCAACGGATTCACACAGGGGAGAAATCATTTAAATGCATGGAGTGCGGAAAGAGCTTCAGTCAGAATGGAAATCTTAGAAACCATCAGCAGACACACAGGGGAGAAACTGTTTAAATGTATGGACTGAGGAAGGAGCTTCAGTCAGAGTGGAACCCTTGATTTATGTGAAGAAACTCACACAAAACACAAACCTTATAAATATCAGGAAAGTAGATAGAGGTTCAGTCCTAGTGGAAGTTCTAAATCAACAGACTCACGGACAGGAAGAAGTTTAGTACAGTGGTACCCCGCAAGACGAATGCCTCGCAAGACGGAAAACCCGCAAGACGAAAGGGTTTTCTGTTTTGGAGGCGCTTCGCAAGGCAAATTTCCCTATGGGCTTGCATCGCAAGACGAAAGCCCATAGGGAATTCCTGGCGGTCGGGACCAAAGACTTTCGCCCACAGCTGGCCTTCAGAAGAGGACCTCTTCTGAAGGCCGGCGGGGGGCAAAAGTCTTTGCTCCCCCCCGCCTGCCTTCCCCCCCCCACCTGCCCCGGGCGATCTTAAAATGCTGGGGGTCGGGAGCGAACGCTTTGCTCCCAACCCCCAGCATTTTAAAACGCTGTTCCGAAGCGGGGCGGGGGGGCGGGAACACCTGCCCCAGCCGCCCCACTTCGGAACGCGGCTCCGAAGCGGGGCGGGGGGGCGGGAACACCTGCCCCAGCCGCCCCGCTTCGTAACGCTGCTCTGAAGCGGGGCGGGAGGCGGGAACACCTTCTGAAGGCGGGCGGGGGGCCAAAGTCTTTGTCCCCCCTGCCTGCCTTCCCAGGGGCTTTTAAATCGCCCCGCACAGCGGAGAAGTCCTCCGCTGTCCGGGGCGATTTTAAAATGCCGCCCGCCAGCATTTTAAGATCGCCCGGACAGCGGAGAAGTCCTCCGCTGTCCCGGGGTTTTTTAAAATGCTGGGGGTGGGAAGAAAAGCCCTTGTCCCCCCCCCCAGCCTTCAGAAGAGGTCGGGGGACAGTCTGTCCCCGGACCTGGTCTGAAGGCGGTTTCCCTAGGAACGCATTAATTGATTTTCAATGCATTCCTATGGGAAACCGTGCATCGCAAGACGAAAAACTTGCAAGACGAAGAGACTTGCGGAACGAATTAATTTCGTCTTGCGAGGCACCACTGTACTTGAAACCCTTCAAACTATCAACAACCTCAAAGAGGAGAAGCAGTTTAAATGAAAAGATTGCAAAACGTGCTTTATTTACAAAGGAGTGTTTAACGAACATCCAGGGACTCTCACATGGACGAACCCATTTAGATGTTTGGAGTGTGGGACGTCTTCCTCTCAGAGTCCACTCTTTTCTTCACAGCAATGAACTCAGCAGGACATCACTCATTAACACATGTTGTGTTTGTGAAGTTCTGGTATTTATGCATAAAAGTCTATAGTAATGAAATATTGAAGGCATTGTCAAACAATGTGGTTATGATCTAATATTTAAAGTACCTTTTGACAGAGAAAGGGTGAGGGTTTATCTGGATTGCTGGTGGTCAGTGAGGATTAGGGCTGGGCGATGTATTGTCCAAACTGGTTTCTAGACCACATAGAATCATAGAATCATAGAATCATAGAGTTGGAAGAGACCACAAGGGCCATCGAGTCCAACCCCCTGCCAAGCAGGAAACACCATCAGAGCACTCCTGACATATGGTTGTCAAGCCTCTGCTTAAAGACCTCCAAAGAAGGAGACTCCACCACAAGACTCCTTGGCAGCAAATTCCACTGTTGAACAGCTCTTACTGTCAGGAAGTTCTTCCTAATGTTTAGGTGGAATCTTCTTTCTTGTAGTTTGGATCCATTGCTCTGTGTCCGCTTCTCTGGAGCAGCAGAAAACAACCTTTCTCCCTCCTCTATGTGACATCCTTTTCTATATTTGAACATGGCTATCATATCACCCCTTAACCTCCTCTTCTCCAGGCTAAACATGCCCAGCTCCCTTAGCCGTTCCTCATAAGGCATCGTTTCCAGGCCTTTGATCATTTTGGTTGCCCTCCTCTGGACACGTTCCAGTTTGTCAGTGTCCTTCTTGAACTGTGGTGCCCAGAACTGGACACAGTACTCCAGGTGAGGTCTGACCAGAGCAGAATACAGTGGCACTATTACTTCCCTTGATCTAGATGCTATACTCCTATTGATGAGGCCCAGAATTGCATTGGCTTTTTTAGCTGCCGCGTCACACTGTTGGCTCATGTCAAGTTTGTGGTCAACCAAGACTCCTAGATCCTTTTCACATGTACTGCTCTCAAGCCAGGTGTCACCCATCTTGTATTTGTGCCTCTCATTTTTTTTGCCCAAGTGCAATACTTTACATTTCTCCCTGTAGAAAGACCTTGGTCACAATATAGATTATAATAAATGGCAGACATTGTGGACGAAAGGTGTAAAATTTACAGCTTGTGTAGCCCTTCGTGAAAATTTAGAGAAAATGATATATCGCTGGTACTTGACCCCAGCAAAGTTAGGAAAGATGTATAAAACTGTTGATAACACCTGCTGGAGATGCAGGGACAAGGTTGGGACCTTTTTCCATATCTGGTGGACCTGTGATGTAGTGAAGGAATTTTGGAAACAAATATATGACGAACTGAAAAAAATTTTGAAGTATAATTTCCTCAAAACCCCTGAGTTGTTTCTTTTAGGTATGACTGGTAAAGAAATAAAGAAAATAGATCAAACCTTTGTACAATATGCCATGGCTGCGGCGAGGATTCAAATTGCACAAAAATGGAAAACCCCTGACTTACCTACGGTTGGAGAGTGGCAAATGAGGCTATATCAATATATTGAACTAGCGAGACTAACACAAAAAATAAGACAAAATAACACAGTCAAACATAAAGATGAATGGAATAAATTTTTAATTTATTTTGAGGCTATCCAGGGAATAAACAATTTATCAATAGACGATAACTAAAATCATCAATGTATAACGTTTTAGCAATACTGCAAAATTACTGTAAGAATTGGTAATTCCAAAACTGAGTTGGACGGAAGTTCTGTCATTTGCAACTGTACATGCTTTGTGTGTCTTTTTTCCCCCTTCTTTTTCTGCTTTTCTTCTTTCTTTTTTTTACTCTTTTTTATAACGAAGTTTTTTTTTTGTTTGTATACAATGATGTAAAATGTGTATCTTTCTTAAATCTAAATAAAAAAAAAACATTTCTCCCTGTTAAAATTCATCTTGTTTGTTTTGGCCCAGTTCTCTAATCTGTCAAGGTCGTTTTGAAGTGTGATCCTGTCCTCTGGGGTGTTAGCCACCCCTCCCAGTTTGGTGTCATCTGCAAATTTGATCAGGATGCCCTTGAGTCCATCATCCAAGTCGTTGATAAAGATGTTGAATAAGACCGGGCCCAAGACAGAACCCTGTGGCACCCCACTAGTCACTCTTCTCCAGGATGAAGAGGAACCATTGATGAGCACCCTTTGGGTTCGGTCAGTCAGCCAGTTACAAATCCACTGAGTGGTAACATAGTCAAGACCGCATTTTACCAGCTTCTTTACAAGAATATCATGGGGCACCTTGTCAAATGCCTTGCTGAAATCAAGGTAGGCTACATCCACTGCGTTCCCTTCATCTACCAGGCTTGTAATTCTGTCAAAAAACGAGATCAGGTTAGTCTGACATGACTTATTTTTCAGAAATCCATGCTGACTATTGGTGATCACAGCATTCCTTTCTAGGTGCTCACAGACTGTTTGCTTAATGATCTGCTCCAGAATCTTCCCTGGTATTGATGTCAGACTGACTGGGCGGTAATTATTTGGGTCCTCTCTTTTCCCCTTTTTGAAAATAGGGACAACATTTGCCCTCCTCCAGTCTGCCGGGACTTCACCTGTTCTCCAGGAATTCTCAAAGATGACTGCCAGTGGTTCTGAAATCACATCTGCCAGTTCTTTTAATACTCTTGGATGCAGTTCATCTGGCCCTGGAGACTTGAATACATCTAGACTAGCCAAGTATTCTTGTACTATCTCCTTAGTTATTCTGGGCTGTGTTTCCTTTGCTGAATCATTTGCTCCAAATTCTTCAGGTCGGGCATTGTTTTCTTTATCGGAGAAGACTGAGGCAAAGAAGGCATTGAGGAGTTCAGCCCTTTCTGTGTCCCCTGTTTGCATTTCACCATCTTCTCCTCTGAGTGACCCCACTGTTTCTTCTTCCTTTTGCTACGAACATACCCATAAAAGCCTTTTTTGTTGCTTTTAACCTCTCTAGCAAGCCTGAGTTCATTCTGTGCTTTAGCTTTTCTGACTTTGTGTCTACACGTGCTGGCTATTTGTTTGAATTCCTCTTTGGTGGTTTCCCCCCTTTTCCATTTTTTGTACACATCCTTTTTTAATCTTAACTCAGTTAAAAGTTCTTTAGATAGCCACCCTGGCTTCTTTAAGCACCTTCCATGTTTCCGTCTCATTGGTATTGCCTGACGTTGTGCTTTTACTATCTCCCTCTTAACAAACTCCCAGCCATCATGAACTCCCTTTCCTTTTAGTATTACTGTCCATGGGATCTCACCCAGCACTTCCCTAAGTTTTATGAAGTCGGCTTTCTTAAAGTCAAGATATTGAGTCCTAGTATGCTTGGCTGCTCCTTTCCGCTGTATAGTAAACTTCAGAAGAGCATGATCACTCGCGCCTAATGATCCTTCCACTTCTACCCCACTAACCAGGTCATCAACATTGGTTAGGACCAGATCTAAAATGGCTGTTCCTCTTGTTGCTTCTCCCACTTTCTGGACAATGAAGTTGTCTGCAAGGCCAGCGAGGAATCTGTTTGACCTTATGCTCTTGGCTGAGTTTGACATCCAACAAATATCTGGGTAATTGAAGTCGCCCATTACTACTATCTCCCTTCCTTTTGCATGCTTGGCCATCTGTTCCAGGAAGGCATCATCTATGTCCTCCGTTTGGCTTGGGGATCTATAGTAAACTCCCACAATGAGGTCTCTGTTATTCTTCTCTCCCTTAATTTTGACCCAAATGCTCTCACTTTGGCTTTGAGG